TCGGTTGCAATCGCAGAGGTGGACCAGCTGAGGGCGTTTCTCGTTCGCTGTAGCATAGGGGGTACGTGCGGTAATACGCCCATCAGACCCGAACGCGAACCGACATCTTGGGGGGCTGAGGTCCCAAGCGTGGCTCGTCGTCGGTCGGCTAGGACACATCCCACTCACCACGCATACACCACTCTACGAACACAAAAGGGAGCACACACACACATACACACGAAATGACACAACACAAACAATGCGACAAGTCATTGAGATGGATGACGCTCTTACTCTGATCAAGTTAGGGGTCACGGCCTAGTAGGTCTAGCGGGGCTTTTGTTTGTAAATGTGGAGAGGTTGCCATAGTTCTCTGTGTTATCCCACGGAGTGCTGGTAAATACCTTTCATGTATGACAAGCCTATGCGCGGTCCCTCATTAGGCCTGTTTTGTTGCGACACGGCGCCCGGCCGCTTGCGCTAATCTCAAGGCATATAAGGAAGACCAAGCTAAACGGTAAAGCTTTAGCACCACTAGGGCGTAACTCCTAGGGATGGCTGCGGGCCGGCGCAACCTGGCCGCGGGCCCACGTCTGACCAGAGGAGTAAAGGCATAAAGGGTGTGGCCGCCCGGGAAGGTTTTCACCCCTGTGGAACGGCCTGGGATAAGAAGCGAGTTATATGAGTCTTTTTGGGAAGTCCTGATTGAGCGTCTATCATGAGAAAGCCTATCGTGGCGCAACCTGCGAGGGCACTACCGCTAAACTAACAACGCGGTAGACCGTAGATCTGGCCTGATCGCCCAGACTATGGTGGGCTAAGATGGAGACCTAGCACTTCTGTACTAGACTGCGGAGGCTGCTGAGAGAGAGTTAAGGGCGTACGTAAGTATGCTTCTAATTGTGAAGAACTTTTGAGGGGAAGGCGAAGAAGCCTTCTAAGGTCTCGGTTAGGGCCCGCGCCCCCAGCTGTGACCCTACTTACCGGAAAAAGGTTGGGGACACCCAACGAGAGGCCGGCGTCTGTCTAGGACAAAGGGGCGAGGATGGGTATGAGGGCCTTTTTGAACTTATGTTGTAGTACTGATGCATAGTACACCGGCGTCCTAGTGTCAGGACAATGGAGACCCAGGTTGAAATCCTGGCAGCATATAGTTGTGTGGGCATGGACCGTTGGAGGCCTCGAACCTGAGTCTGTCGGCCGATCGGATTGGTTCCTTCTCGTCAGCGTTTTTCTGGGTGTATGAATGGATTTATAGCTTTTGATCCTGCGAAGCGACGAGGACATCACTTAATACAGTCCGGTAGGCTATCGGCACGAATACCCTTACAAGGGAATTCGCCCTGGTTTTTGCAAGGGACAGGAGGATCGTAGGTCTACGCTTGTGTGTTCAAACGGTCACCCGCGTATGGGCGATAGGATGAGTGGGCGCGCGGTTTCAAGGCGCGCATGTGATTTTGCCTCTTTGATTGTACGGACGGCATAGACGTCCGGCTTGACCTGGAACCTGTGACTAGGCTGGGAATTAGGGGGCGGACCCTCGTTCGCCGTGCCGACCAGCTGCAGGGCTGGTAGGTGGGGTGGTACGTAGGACGACATGGATGCGCAGCGTGTATAGGCGGGGGTGAGCCTGCAGGCGTGTCGCAGCCTTAGGCGCCGGGCTGCACCACTTCATATGGGATGCGGCGCCCACTAATCCCAGGCTGGGGCTTAGCCCTATAGGTAACGGTGCAGGGCTGTTGCCAGGGAGGTTCTGGGATCGAGGCCAGTGAGCGGTGGTGCGGGAGCAGTGGCGCAGCAGAGCAACGAGGAGAAAGCCGAGGGGTTGGGGGCTCGTCGGGGCCATCCCCCTCTGGCTTTTGCTGGTAGGCACGGTGGCGGGCTGACCTACGAGACTGGCAAGGGACCGATAGCCCACTCTTAGAAAAGCTAGTTTTCATATATGCAATTTTCGTTATTTATTATTATTATTATTTTTTATTTTTTTATTTTTTTTTGTGTTTGTAACAATCCCGCTTCTTCGGGGTAAGTATAAAACTGAAGGCGGTAAGGGAACTGGGGCTTCCTTGTAAACCCCATAGTATCACTGGGTGCTGCGGCTGCGTTGGCTGTCTCAAAGGGAGAAACTGAGAGTAATCGGGTGAAGGCAGGGCGCTGTAGCGCGAAAGGGGAGACCGGGCTGGAGTTCTGGCCGCGGGGCCTGCTACCTGGCCAATCGAATAAGTGCGAGCGCGGCTGGGCGAGCGCACTTCTGCTGAGCGCGAATGGAGGCACGCAGCGTGTTGACGGTATGCCGATGCAGGGGTGATGCACCTGGGCGTAATCTTGGGCCAAGTACACCCTACGAAGGAGATGGCAGAGGAGTGAGTCGGGCGCGGGTGAGGAGGCGTGRCGCTCTCRATTCTGGGCAGAAACGGGAAGGAGAAGAGGCGATCCCGGGCGTTTGCTMCRGKCGAGTMGGTAGGTAGTATTAGTTATRGCGATAGATTGATAGAGGTGGGGTAATACGAAAGTTGGCTGMGCTGGGGTATGAGGCCGGYGRAGGCGAAGTGCGGAAAGCGRAWTACCGGTGACGACAACGTAAACCAAGGGTCGAAGGAAGCAAAGTGAACAGAGGCSYGAACTCGTGYCAGGTGCGTACGGGGTAAKGATAGGGAATAGCGGTAGGGAGGAWCATAKGCGGGAAGAAGAAGTAGGAGCGAGCGTGACCAGGGTGGGAGACGGCGTGCGACCGTGTGCAGCAGGAAGAAGAGTGTGCCTAGGYGCCAACAGGAAATRGYGGGGAGTGAAACGGGAGGAAAGTGGGAGGACACGTACCTGGTCTCCTCTATARAGGGGATTCAGTCTTGGCCTGTAAAGTCGGGGCGTTCGGCGTAAGTACGAGCCGAGCAGYGACGAAGGAAMGGGTRTGCCYGCCCATGTCCCGRCGACAGATTCATTCCGATGTGCTTATCCTACYGGTGGGAAACTCTCCCTYTCTCGCCCTCACGCGTAYGCATGTAGTAGTGCATGCTCCCACGATCCGGTAGTAAACTCGCTACRCTKTGTTTGCTCTGGAGGTGAGAGCAGCGTGAGGTGAGTTAGGGGGCTTGATACTTACCTGGCTCGGGGCGATGGGGGTGAGTGCATTGCCCACMCACTSATGAGTTGYTGCGAGAAGGTTGGAAGGGAKCCCACCTAGAGCAACCTGACAGATGGTGAACAGCACTGAGCGGGGCAAAAGAGACTAAGTTGCCCGGGGAAAGGTCGGAACGRCTGTAATCTGCTATASGGAGCGTGGGTGCGAAGGCACYCGATTAAGAAAGAGAGAAGGCCGGGGGATTCGAGGAAAGGAAGACTAGGAGGGCGGGTCGAGAGAAGGGTGAAGRAGGCCACAGGCTGGAGGTCTTACCTGTTTAACCGGTGAGCCRCTCGTTCCGGCGATCGAGGGCAACAGGAGAGCRAGTCACAGGGGCCRGGCGACCTACCTGTTGTCGGAATACTGCCTAYGAAGTAACRGGGCTGCAGCYGCCTCCTTCAAGAAGRCCGTTGTTGGCTGCCGCAGGCTGTCGYGCTGGTTCTGAGTACGGCAACTGCTTGGAGCGGTAGGACTGCAGCTTGAGGTTGGGGAGTGAMAGTGTAGCATGAGGGAAGTGTTATTGGGACCACAGGGTAGGATGGCTGCAACAGTYTGGGGRTGGGAGTGATRCGAGAAAGGCTACTACCAGCCCKGTGTGTTCGATAAGCYGTGCCACGCTGGGCAGTYTGGCTGCGATATTTGGTGTGGTTCYGCAGCTGGCCGAGCCGCAGGGTGCTCCAACTGTGTCTCTGTTTGCAATGGCGRTTGTACMTGTTAYTGATTRMWGGGATTACTGAAGCAGCGCTGTGCTGTTGAAGCACGCTGAGTCCTGYTGCRGAAGTAGTTGGGGTGTGCGCGGCCTTGTTAATACCAATCCTCTGCGCACTCTGKTTTTTTTGCGAGTGCTCAGCGGTGTGCTGGGCGGCTGTTCAGATAAGGTATAGGGGAGGGTGGATGGACTGAAAAGGGAGGTTCACTGACATTCACACAGCAGGTCGGGTACAAGYTGGAACGGGGRAGACAGCTGGAGCACAGCCACGGGGTGGAGATCACCTATTGGCAGGCGCACTCCGTGAAAGTAGGCTGGTGGCRTATGGCCAAGCRAGATGCAAGAAGCKTACCTGCGGCAGGCTAGTCGGAGGCCTCCCTGCGAGCAAACGGGGAGAGTGTGCAGATCCGCCGATTGATGGGAGGGGCTGAGAGGCTTCCACTGGCTACAACCCGGCGTGRACTGTTACTATYGCTGCAAACCGCTACTGTATGCTGCTACTGAGGGCCATGCTACT